TGTTGAATAAATTCAAGGAATCACTTATCACTCCTTCTTCAGTGATTACAAATCCGTGATTTTCTCCGTAAGCCTCTTCCAACTTTTGCAAGACCTTACTCACGAGCATGTCGCACTATCAATTGTAGAGGCACGGACACAAAACTAGTTGACACGATGCTGTCTTACTGGCAACTAAGTCCCCTTTATTTTACTCTACCTTTCAAACCGGAAGCTTAATCACTAATCTAGCTATACAACTCTAATTTTATTTCTTTCCTACTGCTATATACTACTTAATTTATTCGAACACCAGGTGTCGAATATAGTGTATTCTATGTCAACTGTTTTTAGAGGAGCCTTACCGGGAAATTGCAATATAAATTCACTCTAATAATAATTTATTTATTTATTTCTATTTTTATATAAAAATATCCCCAAAAAAAATTTATTTATTAAGATTTAGCTAATAGCTACTGTTTTCTGAATATAACTGGTCTACTTGCCTACTCCACGTCTGATTTAATACACTATCTCGTTGATGGAAACGACACCTTTCGTCATCATTTTCTAATGACTTCCGATGTTCTGCAAAGGGGCACTCCGAAATTTGCACCAACACGTCCTTACACTGTTTACTTAAATGTAACGCCGTGCAGTAACGACAGTTACGTACTGCTAATAACGGTACTTGACACACTGCACAAATTCCAAACGTAAGTCGGTTATCTGTATTACGACTACCATAATCTATCTTAAACGGATGCTAAATGAAGATATCAGTACTTTCACTCATAGTTTGAGGAATACTGTAGGATATTCAGGATATTGAAATATCTCATTATTGTTTCTTAATGTAAAACGTTGCCTCAGGCTTGTTGTTGTGCCACTGTGAGTCCTGGTATTACTGGACCTAGCAGTGAGTATCCCATCTTCGTTACACTTCCCTTGCATATTTCTTGAAATTCTGACGAGTTATTATACAGGGTGATTCAAAAACATATGTAACTAATAATTCCATTCGATTCGTCTCGAAACATTAATTTCGAATTGTGTTCTTAGTTTTTCGATTAAATAATTAGGTAATTAGATAATTAGCTTCAAAGATCGGCCAATCAATGCACAGCTTTAGAAGAACGGGCGCTTGATGGCGAGCGCGGAGCAGTGAGGGGGGGCCAGCGGCGCGCGCCGCCGCTGATTGCAAGCGGTGCTCAACCCAATCGTGCAACACGGAGCTCCCATGTCTACATACTGATATACGTATTCATTGATTGAACGCGTATTAATAAAAAGAACGGTTCAATACCGATTGACTAATAACAATGATGTACGTGAAAGCTTTTGTGTTTATTTTGCGAAATAGGTTATTTAGTATTCGTGGTCGTCGAATTCAAACTCGCTGTCTTACTTAAGAATTATGTTAATTTAATGCTGAAAATCGCTGTGATCGGCAACTACAACATTGCTTTTTTTTGCGTTTGAGAAAATTGAGATCAATATAGGTAGAGGCGTACCGTGTGTTTCCAATTAGCTTGGTTATACGTTTTTTTAAGATTAAGAAATAAAATAATAATAAATAAATACTGACAACCCTCGGCTGAAAATTTCCATGTGGGAAATTCACTCCTAATGTGTCATTACACTTGGAACAAAGTGTCAATTCGCGTGTGCGAGACGATTTACACTAGTCACACACAGGAAATCCATCCTAAAATTTCTCAGTACGCGGCTCGTAAATAAAAATGCTGTCGCTACGATGGCTTGCAGCAACTCGGCGCCTCGAATCAGGTAAGTGAAATTTGAATTTCAGTAATGATCATTAGTCATGAAATTATTTCCAGCACATAATAATTATAAAGAAAATATCGCAATGCTGAAGACTAGATCTACAATACATTGCGCATTTCTGAAATATTATTATCAATCTAACGAGCAAGCTACAATTATCAAATTGTTAGGATTATTGTAGAACCCATTAGAACTTTAAGTCGTAGTCTGGGAAGCGAAACGCTTTTCATAAAGTGCGTAAATGTGTGTACATCAATTTTTCTAAGTTAAATTAAAAATTATAAATAAAAAAAAACTGAAAATTATAAAAGTCGTCGCCACTTTTCGGTGAAAAGAAATTCCAAAAACAAATTTCCATAATTTTTTTTAAAATCTATCTCTCGTTGCCCTGTTCCGCATGGTAACTTCATCGTTTAAAAAACCGACATACGAAAGAAGATCCGTAATGAGTCATAGGTGCCAGGCTGCTCGGAGAGAGTAGTGGAAGTGGCGAAGGTGCGGATTTTGAGAAGAATAAACGAAACGGGGGGTGAGGCTGGGGGGCATGAGGACAGACGAACGCAGTGCGACCTAAGAAATTAGACGGACGGTGGGAGGGATTCGTCGAAATAAGACGGACGAGCGGAAGGCAAGGTGTAAAAAGACGGACGAGTGGAGGGCAAGGTGTAATAAGACGGACGAGCGGAGGGCAGAGTATAAAAAGAGGGACGAGCGGAGGGCTGGGTGGAATAAGACGGACGAGCGGAGGGCTGCGTCTAAAAGGGCAGACGAGCAGAGGGCTACGTCGAAAAGGGCAGACGAGCTGGGGGCTGGGCGGAATAGGGCGGACGAGCGGAAGTCAAGGTGAAATGAGATGGACGAGCTGGGCGCTACGTCGAAATGTAACGGACGAGCTGAGGGCTACGTCGAAATGTGACGGACCAGCTGAGAGCGGGTCGTAATAGAACGGACGAGCGGAGGGCTGTGTCATGAAGGCCAGTCGAGCAGAGAGCTGCGTCGAATTTAGACAGACGGTGGGAGGTATTTGTCGAAATAAGACGGACGAGCGGAGGGCTACGTCGAAATTAGACGAACGGTGAAAGTGAGACATCGGAATAAGACAGACGAGCGGAGGGCTATGACGAAATTAGACGGACAGTGAAAGGGAGACATCGAAATAAGACGGACGGGCAGAGGGCAACGTCATGAAAGGCAGACGAGCAGAGGGCTACGTTATAAGGGGTAGACGAGCTGGGGGCTGGGCAGAATAGGGCGGACGAGCGGAAATCAAGGCGAAATGATACGGACGAGCTGGGGGCTACGTCGAAATGTCACGGACGAGCTGAGGGTGGGTCGTAATAGAACGGACGAGCGGAGGGCTATGTCGGAAAGGGCAAACGAGCCGTGGGCTTGATGAAATAGGGCAGACGAACGGAGGGCAGAGTAAAATGAAAGGGACGGGTTTGGGGGACCGTGTGAAACAAGGCGAACGCGCGAAGGGCTGCGTCTAAAAGGGCTTGCGAGCCGGGGGCTACGTCGAAATTAGACGGACGGCGAGGGGGAGACGTCGAAATAAGACGGACGGGCAGAGGGCTGGGTGAAATACGGCACACGAGCGGAGGGCTGTGTGAAATAGGACGGTCGAGCAGACAGCTGCATCATCAAGGGCAGGCGAGCAGAGCGCTATGTCAAAAAGGGCAGACGAGCTGAGGGCTGGGTGAAAATGGACGGACGAGCGGGGAGTTGCGTTCAGAAGGGTAGACGGGCACAGGGCTATGTCCGTGTCCGAGTCCGCAGAAAAGAGTGCAGATGCATTGTGCTGAATGGAAAAAACGGCAGAGGAAGCGGTTGCATAGATTGTAGTCAGTCGAACATGGGGAGGCCTAACAATAGATTCAAGCAGTGCGGACTCGAAAAAATTGGCGAAGGAGCCCAGTGCTGCTTTAGTAAGAGGTTAGTCGAAGTGAGGGTGCGGAAAAACGCTTAGGCAAACGCAGTGCTGACTGGAAATAACGGCACATAAAAGCGAGGGCGCTAGTTGTAGGCTAGACGAACAGGGGGTTGCCTTGGAAAAGGGTTAGGCTAAGTCGGGCTCGAATAAAAAGGTGGTCGAGCCCATTTCTTCTCTGAAAATGGCCAATCGAGCATAGTGTTAACTTGGATTGACAGTTAACGACGAGCAATAACAGCAGGCGGCTTGGGGACAAGATAAGGCGGTCATAGTAAGGTCTTAGGAATGGGTTCGACGGAGCAAGGGCGCGGAAATGATCCCAGACGACCACATTGCTAACTAGAAATTATGTCAAACGGAGCGGGTTCTCGGAAAAAGAGGACGGATGTGTCTAATGCAGGTTTGAAATAGAGTTAGACGAAGTTGGGTTCGGAAAAGAGAGCGGACGAGGCCATTCTGACTTAGAGAAAGAGTTAGTCGAAGCAGAGTCTCAAAAAATAGGTCGGAGCGAGCATAGTTTAAGCAGATGGGAAGGTAGAGCAACGACTCGGAAGAAAAAGCGGTCAACCTCAGGGCGGTCTCAGAAGAGTGTCAGATATATAGAGATTTGTGTGAAGGGCAGATGTGCTCAGTGCTGCTTGATAGAAGAGTCAAAGTCAAACATGGACTTTGGTAGAAAGGCAAAGGAGCACAGTGTGGCCTGGTTTAGCCGTAGAAGACGTGAAGATAATATTGAAAAGACAAAAGCAACGGGCGGAACAGGTAATGCAACAGACCAAAGGTAAGCTGTGGTATAAGTGTCAATGATCAAGAGTTAGACGTAATCGATGTTTTGGGAAATATGGGAAAGGAAGGACGAGAGCGGAAAAAAAGGTAGAATAACGAGAACGGTCTCACCACCCTACGCTTATTTAACCTTTCGTCAGTTGACATTCTGTCACCTCACCCACAATTATTTGTCTTGATTCCAGTTTTAGAAGTTGAACGAGTAAATTATCACTCTTCTTTTTAATTATTTATCTAATTACCTCAATTCTAGAAAAAATTTTTCATAAGTCCACTTATCCATAACTGTTTGTGATGAACTCAGTGGTGTATGAAAATTTAAATAATTGAGGCCCGTATTGAGAACAACCAAAACAGCTTAGGGAGATGATTGAAAAAACAGATTTATATAACAAATCATCGTTATTTACACAGAGTATAACGTTTTATCGAATTATTCGAATTTCGTCTACTATTAAGCTGACTAGTTTTTAGTAAAACCTTAGTAGAAAAGAAAAAATATAAAAAACATGTTAATTCATATCTCCCAATCCGGATCGTTGCCAACGTCGTCATCATCTTCATCCATACTATCATCAGCCTCACCATCTTCGCTGCCATCATTTTCACCATCGTTGTTCATATCATCATCATCATCTTCTCCATTTTCATCATTGCCATTAACATCAACATCATCACCATTCTCGTCCTCCTCCTCAACAACATCATCACCACCATCATCACTATCCAAGCATTGTTCGAAATGCCCCCCCTGTTGCTGAATACACAAAATAGCTCTACGTCTTATCTGATGTGTAGCTGCGTGTATTTTTTCGGGTTCTAGATGCTGGGCGTGATGTTGGATTCTTTGTATCATGTCATTTGGGTCATTGAGGCCGCCATTGTGATAAACTGCTTCTTTGGATGTCCGCCAGTAAAAGTAGTCCAATGGGTTCAAATCAGGAGATTTTACTGGCCAGCGTACTGGACCATTATTGCCTATCCAATGGCCGCCATATACCTTGAAGAATTAAAATATTTTATAAGCGATTTTAATATACCTGGGTAAAATTTGTTATGAAACCAATAATTTTTCTAGCCGACAGTTGTACATGCAGGTGCATGTACAGACATATACATATTTGGTTTCTAGCGCTGTACTGTGAATGCATTCTCACATGCTCCCCGAAGTATACTAATGAAGCCGTGTTGGTTTTCAAACTTCTGTAGACTAAAGTAGTACGAGTAATCAAAATACTGGCAGCATACGTAGAGATTAAAAAATTTTATATTCAAAGTAGAGTTGAAATAAAAGGGAAAGAGGAGGAGAGCGGATTTTAATTGAGATTTGAGAATCTTTGAGCGACGGAAATAAAACTCGTCAAGTATGATACAAAGTAGAAAATTTTCATAAGGCTATCTGTCCTAGAACGACTTTTATATTTTTATAAAGAATAATATAAAAGTAATTAAATTTCCTTTCAAGTCAGAGCAATATTCCCTTCAGCAAATAATTGGCATAAAACCACGACAAAATTATCCTACATGAAATTTCAGAGCGTTAAGACTTTCATTAGGAGAAATCGCGTAATACAATTTTTGGTAAGGAAGGGTAAAGCAAGCAGAATAAGTGAATAAACAGTTGTAGAAAAGAAATGCTTTATTCGAGAGAAAGCCTTTGGCGTCCGCGTCACGGAAGAGACTAGAACGAATTGAGCGGCAACGCCGCTAGCCGCCAAGAGAGAGCGAGACGTGTAGTCACGCACATGCGCAGAGCAAAATAGGTGAGATGCTTTTACATATTTCCAACAACAATGTATACTATAATAATTACCTGATCAAGATAATTCCTTACATTCGCAGCAGTATGTGCTGATGCACCGTCATGCATGAAAATAAGATTTTCTTGCAGTTCTTCTGGCACACCATCAAGCAATCCTGGAAGTATATCCTGCAGGAACTCAAGGTAATTTTTAGCGTTTAGTGGGTTTGGAAGTTGTACCGGACCAATAACTTGATTACCAATCAAGCCTGTCCATATATTGACTGAAAACCGATTTTGAAATCGATCTGGAAATAATGAACAAAATTTATAAATTTTTCAGTTTATAGTACATTTTGATAGATGTTTGGCGACGCAAGACGTCTCCTATCTACGCATATGTCGTATTGTGTTTTTTGAGACAACGTGAGCGAAGCGAGTCATACCGTACAAAGAATTGCAGTTTGATAATTTAACCATATTATTTACAAAAAGTAATATTTATGTTAGTATTTTGATCTTTTATGATTGCATTTGTTCTATTTCGTTTTTTCTCTTCTACGTGCCCACAATTTTAAGGCTATTAAAGGAAAATTTGACTGAAAAATACGTGAGGAATTGTATACATTCGTACTACGAAATAAAGTATCAGTGCATGATATTTTTAAAAACGGCGAATGAACATCTCGCTTGACAAAATATTATTGCTCTTAAATAGTCTTTCGCACTTATAGATGCATATACGAACTACATTTACTTCGTGATTTAGATTAATACTCAATAATGTATGAACTGTGAATCAGTTTTGACTTTATCTTCCCATTGTTTAAATGTGTGTGGCGGACGTGCTTTATCTGTTGATCTACTTGGTTAAAACTTTCAGTTTTTCCTCAGCATCAATAAAATAATTTAGTTCAGCTGTCGCGCGGCTGCCGCTTAACTGCCGCGCCGAATTTCGATTTTTATGGCGCGCCCGCAATAAATAAAAATTGCTTTGCGCTCTCGCTAATCCCTTGTTGTTAGCGACAAAACACGTCTCATCACCCTGCTTTCCCGTTGGTCCTCAGCTACCCTTTTCACGGACTTCGTGGGTGGGACTTACCTTCCCCCGATGCCCAAGGGAAGCGTCTTCGCTGAGGTATGACGAGTGAATCGTCACTCACGCTAGAATTGCCGACACGCTTACATCTCTACTCTCTGCGAGATGCGCGGTTTTTGCGTAGACTAAGTCTCTACTATTAAGTATTTGTAGTAGTTAGTCTACTTTTAATAAAACATCAAGTTTTCCTTTACACCTAAATCATCGCTATATTTATTTAATATATTCACCCACCAAACGGACCTCCATGTGGATAAACTGAAAAAGCAATTTGAACGAACTAAATAACGTTTTCATTAATAATTGTTTATAGATCTAAAAATATAAATTTTATTACAATAGAGAAAAATTTTTTTTTTAATCGCTAGAGATCGTAGATTGTTTTTTTTATAAATCATAACTAACGCACCCAATGACAAATTCACGGCCGGATCCCGGTACGGAGACTCCGTATTCCAAAATAAACTGCTGATCCGATTAAAATTTTCCTATGTGTGTGCGTGTATTATTGGAAGAAAGTTTATTTTTATTATACTCGTAATAATATATTTTTAGATATATCTTTTTAACATTTTCGGTTTTGCGAACGCAAAGATGAGACTTGGAGTACCATTGCTTTTTGAAATGTGCGCAGAGTCGTGTCTTCGTGCAGGGGGTATAGAAAAATTCTTTGAAAAATGCTTAAAAAATGTTTATTATTAAGCGTATCCTAAAAATAAATTTTCTTACAATAGAAGACGCACACGCATAGGAAAATTTTCAGGGGATTGATTTTTTTTAGAATGTGGGGTCTTTAACTATTCAAAACAGTTACCTTCCCGAGCCATATGCGGATTTTCATGAGCCCACTGATGCTCATTGTGCTGATTAAACATTCCCTTCCGTACGTATGTTGATTCATCAGTCCAGAGAATTCGATCCATAAAGCCTGGATCAGCATCTATTTCATTCAGCAAGAATTGACAGAACACAATACGGTTCTGGGCATCTCTTTCATCTGTTTTGAGAATGTATAAGTAATATTCAAAATAACCATCGTATATAATTATCTATGCTACTTAGAAAAATTGAGAGATTCTATGAATGCGAATTAACAAAATTTTTTGATTAGAATTTTACATAAGAGTTTAGCTTGAAAGCTGAAAAATGTGTACTTTTTAAAGTAAAGTAGCCGAGGTATTTTATTTGAATATACGTCTTTTGATACCCCAAATTTCTAAAAAAATTCATAAACTTCTAATAGTCATGGGTCATTTTGAAGAAAGAAAAATCAAGTAGGCAATCCAAGTTTAACAAACAGATTCCTATAAAATCCAATGCATTCATCAATTAATTTTTTTGTAAATTAAACTTGAGAAAAACTATTTTTAGACTATAGTAGGTTATTTTAAACTAATTACTACTTCAAAACTTCAATAAACTTTCTATCAAACAATTAAAAATGGATTTTTTTCAAATTTTTTTCGGCCGAATTGTTTTAAATTTATTAAGATACAGACCAAAACTAAATAAGTTATCAAACAAATTATTCTATTTATAACTTAATCGAAATAAGTAACCCTACTTTTTTTTGTCATTTATTTCTTATAAAAATCATTCTACCTCATGGTCATCAAAGATTACTAGAAAAACAAAACGACGAAGTAACTCCTATCGTAAAGGTTGGTCAAGTGATTTCCGTGAAAAATGAATGGTAATAAAATGCAATGAAGCTTGAGATCTTTCGTGTCGATCAATTTGCCAACAATCTATTGGGATAATTGACAAATTTATGACAGGAAAGGGAAAGAAAAAAACACGGATTTCTGAGCTGATTTCGAGAATATAGCTACTTTGCCTATTTGCCATTTGGTCAAAAAAGCTTAAACTAATGCAAAAAACTCATCTCATAGTTTAAGGTTTGATTCGAGAAATTGCAGGAAAATTTTCCAAGAAATTTCGATTCGTTGATTTCTAAATTACACATTCTAAAAAAATTAGTTTTTAAAATGATGTTGAAGTTTGTATCGCTGCAGAGCAACGATTTTTTTTAATTTAGGATATAGACGCTATTTCCTGTCAAAATTTAATGGGCGTATCAAAAATAGTAAAACTGCATGAAATTTTCAAATATACAATCTTTGCGATTTCATATTTTGAATATTTAAAAATTTGATTGAGATCGCTATGACCAAAGCTGGCAACTAGCGATTTCGAGTGACACGCCCTTCTTCAGGAAAATCACGAGGCCGAGTTTGCGTTTCCCCTTAATTTCACGATTCGATCTTGCATTGTTAGAAGATATTACAAAAATTGTAGTTGCAAAATGAACATGTATATTGAGTTTGATCAAGATATCTTGTAAATTCTAAAAATGCCAATGGTTAACAGATATACAACAATAATAGCGAAAAATATACCTCATTTCAAGTGTTTTGTAAGCTTATAATAACTATCAGATAGTTAGCAAACCGAAAAAAAAGTTTTAATTTACTACAACACAAAAAGTCCCAACAGGAAATAACAAAATTAGACGTCAAATTGTGGAAATAAAAATTTTTTTAGGCAGTGAACTTGGAAAAAAATGAAAATGGACAACCTGAAAAAACGATTTTGAAAGCTTCCCACGAAGTCCAGTTCAACTACAATCTTAAATGATCGTTCTACTTCGGTGTAGAACAATTACATCTATCGAATACAAAAAAAAATCGACAGGAAAACTGCAGAAATAAAAAAGTTAGAGCGAAAAAAAAAATTTTTCGACAAAACCCTTTACAATGCTTCCTCTTCAAGGAAGCAAAACTGCAGTAACAGCCATAAAATAATAAAAGAAATATATATTTTCATGTATAACTTACGAAGTTCCTGAACGGCTCTGTAGTGATATGCGTGTTGTCCATCATCCCGCATGACTCTTTGTGCCATACTGTACGTACATATGACTCCTAGATTTTCGGATACTTCACGGGTAGCTACACGCAAACTCTACGTCGGGTCCTCTTCAAAAACTTCAACGATCGGCTCATGCAGTTGATTTCGCAGCTCACGTGGACGACCTCCATCTGCATTCGTCACCGCCGCACAACCAGTATTTCTTAACCTCCGAACTGTGGTGTCGATGGTTCGGGGGTTAACTGGCCTTCCGTGTTGTGCCGACCATAGTTCAGCAGCTTGTCGAGATCTTCCAAGCCCAGGCCCAGCCTCACCAAAATAAATCACCATGTCGACGTACTCGTCAATCGTGAATTGACCAGCCATTCTGTTGCCCACGATGGAAGTCGCGCTCGCGCCGTAATCGTCGACATATAACTTGATTTTCGTTAGAAAAAAATGAAGACAAAAAACAAATGCATCTCTCCGTGGTCATTTTCGAATTCTTTCTTTAATTTTGAAATTTTTTGGTTTGTAAGTTCCTTACCGTGTCAACATTACACATATCAAGTGTCGCGTTAGCGGCACGCAGGCGAGTAGTAATGAAATGTCTATGAAGCCTGGCCGCAACGGACACTATAATACAATAAGTTGGCTAAAGTGGGTGTGGCTAAAAATGTAGAGTTGAATTACATCATATCAATTGTACAGTGATATGCCCGCATCACATATAACAATCACAATTTATTTTTCCGTTGATGTACATCAGGATATTTCACTGGCTTATGAAAATATTTTGATGGCAAAATTAACATGACAGCGAATAACTCACAGGACCGTAATGATTAATTTATTTCTTGCAAGAAAATTACTTATAAATTATTTGACTCACGGGTCAAGGTTTTACACACGTTTCCAATTAATTAACGAAAAAATAATATGACATAACGTGGTAAAGTTATAGTCTCGTGAAAATAAAACATGAATAAAAAATTACCCATTGATTTATGCATCTATATACATGTATGGAAAGTCCTAACTGTGTACCAAAATGTTATAGTATAACGTGAAAATTATTAAAGCATTGACAATAACTCGCATAAGTAAACTTGGAGGTTGCGGGAGTAACGCCTCAGCGTTAGTCGGCGAACGATGATGATGGTTTTAAACTTTTATTTCGACAGGCATGTCATTGTCGTGTGTCGTTCATTGATACATGATAATTTGAAACCATATGTAACGAAGCTTTCCATTAGTTTCGTCTCGATAAATAAATTCAGAATTGCTTGTAGAATTGTGTTAGTTTCGATTCAATAATTAGGTAATCAGTAACTTGACCTCAGCCACATCGCTCGCAGCGAGTCGGTGCGAATGGGGCGCTTCGGTTTATTATTTATTTCAGGCTTGTTGTTTATTAAGTGCCAAGAGACGTCAATCATATTTCTTTGTAGAAAAGTACAGGGAACAAGATGGTATAAAAATTGTTTAAACCCATACGGTCAAGCTACGAGAAAAATGCATTTGAAAAAAGGTAATAACTTAAAAAAAATAATTATAATTATTGATTAATTGCAAACGCACATCACTCCACGCGCTAATTTAGACGCTTTTCTTTCTCTGTGCCACACGTTCTGCAGTTTTGTAGCTACAACTCGCAAAACAACTAGGCACATAATATATGTATTAGTTATTAAAATATGAATAGCTTTTCTAGGCTTTTTTCAGAAAAAAATCGTTTTATAAAGGTCTTCTTCTTTATTCTCAAGCTTCCTTTGTTTTTTGTATATCGAGTTGTATATCGTTTAAAATAAAAATTTGTAACACTATTTCCAGCTTGCAATATTGGTTCTGAACAACTTCAATAGTATATGCAGAAGAGAGAGAGAGAGTGAGTGAGTACTAGGTAGGATCAACGAAGTGTATGTTGTTTAGAGGTTCTATATACAGAGATGAGTCGCAGTTTTTTATCCCCCGGATTAGGGAAGAGACCGCACCTAGCCGGCATAAAAACCCTAGTCACAAGTGGGGAAAAGCCTTTTAAATGCAACAACTTTATTGATAAAAATTACAACCAAATAGAACGCAAACATCGAAATAAGTCCGGCGCAGAGGCGTCGCTCGCCTTTGGGCTCTCTCCCTTACAATTTCCGCGTATGTGCGCGCGTAATCCGGTGGATCATCCGGTCCACTTACCGCTTGCCTTAGGACTCGTGAGAGAGGGAGAGGATAGAGAAAGTGAAGAATTCTCTAATCTTCTAAAAGTCTAGAATTCTCTAATCTTCGAAAATTCTAAAGCTTTAGTCTCAGCTTCCCTATTCGTAATGTGAATATTACATTTTTTTTTCAGTTTGTATAGTCAACATAACGTAAACCAAGATCCAAGAAATATCGGTTTGCACAAGACAGTGTGGGCATTAGAAAAAATATATGGCTGCAAGTTATCTGCGAATGATCCTTGGGTGAACGTTTTCAGAAACTGGTTGAGAAGAGAAGGAAAAAATATAGATGCACTCCTCTCCTTTCAATATACTCATGGCGTCGTCACACCAGATGATGTACTCCAGATACAAAATTATATTCGTGTATGTCTTAACAGAACTGTGGGAACAAAAAAGGCAAAGAAGCAATCGGCTGGACCCTCACTGGTCGAAGAGGATCGGTAACAATTTACGAATTGCAAAAAGCACGCACCCAAGACACTCTAAATTGTCAAAAAATGCACTTCTTTGAATAATGGAATTGAAAAAAAATGTTCAATGCTAGAGCTTCCGGACTTTTTTCGCCTTAGTGCTTAGCATTTATAGGGACAGAAAATACTCGTGAACATTAAAAAAGTAAATAGTAACTACATTTTTTCCTTTTTTAAATGAAAAAAGTCCTATTTTTTAAAAACTATTCACCGGCTTTGCCCTTTTTTAGCTGTTGGTAAGTGATAGGTATGTGCTTATTCTGAATTTCATGAACATCAAACACTATTTTCATAACTTAGGATAGATGATTTCCATGTATTTTTTAATGTAGAATACGATGGTGCTTTTGATGATGGGACACTCACCAACGACTCAAGAAGGGCAAAATGGCTAATAATTTTTAAAAAATATGACATTGCGTTACGCCCGGGTTTTGGGCATTAACGCGGGCACGATCGCGGAGGTAAGCAAGAGGGTGAGCACTGATTCTACGCTCGCCGTTGTTGCTCCGGCGGCGGTGTTGCTGCTCTCGTCCTGGGTGGCGCAAAGGTCCTTGTGCTGCCGCGGCTAGCGGTGTGGGTCAGCGAACATGAGCACGAGTCGTGCGGGATGACGACGGTGTGTGTAGATTGAAAATGAGCAGGGGTGCAAGTATTCTGTACTGGCACGTGGTCGCCCTAACTCGGCTGCAAGGTTCACAAGCTCAGCGTGATCGAGCTCGGGGCAACAGGAGCTGCGAGGGGAAATAGCTCTAGGGACAGCTCACGGTTGCCCGGAGGTGCAGGACTCGACCACGGGGGCGGCTTTGGAGCTGCGAGGCTGTGCTCTAGCGTCAGTTCCAGGCCACCCGGAGAGTAGTGAATCCCGCGAGGAACTGACATTTATGGGGCGCGCGAGGCGTTAAGTAACTAAAGACTCCACTCTCGGGAAGTTCCCTTCTCGAGTTAAAACTTCGGCTACTCGTGGTCCCTGAAAAAGTGTTCAGCCTGCACAAATCAGCTCTCAACCTTTTGGACACGAGCCGAAGTGTAGGAGTGATAGGGTTGCGTATGTACACGGCCGTGGCTCGAGTTTCCCACTTGCGTGCGTGCGTGCCTGCGTGCATGCGTGCGTGTGTGTGCGCGCGTGCACGCGTGTGTGTGTGTGTGTGTGAGTGTGTGCCTTGTCTGAGAGAGAAAGATAAAAGGGGGCGCGAACGTAGAGCAGCACTCAGCTTATCGCAGATCATGTATGCAATTTGATTGTAAAATAAAATTGTATAGGAGGGCGTGCCCGTGTCAACTTTTTATTTAAAAGCGCAGAAAAAAAGTTGCCAGTTACTTTTCAAATTTTCACGAGTATTTTTTTAAGCAATAAGGCAGAAAAGTCCGGAAGCTCTAGCGTTAAAAACATTTATTTCAATTCCATTCTTCAGAAAAGTTACATTTTTTGTAAATTTCGTGATGTGCGTGCACGCATGTATACACACAAACTATAATCTCAATCATAACTGAAAATGATTCCTCTATTTTATAATTATTTTCTCTTTTTATAATCAGTGAAACATCAAGTGCGTCTAGTGCTGATATGGCTCAAAAAGAAAATAATTTTCTGGATCCTCCATCACCTCCCACACTCATAAAACTCAGTAGGAAGAGAATCCGGTCACCTCCAAAAAATTTTTCTAAAAACAATATAAATCCGTAAGCTCACGAGTATTTTTCAACCCTATAAATATTAAATAGAATTATAAAAAAAAAGTCAAGAAGCTCTATTAATATACCATCTTCTCTACCATCGGCTACCGCGGTTAGAAGTGAAATCAGCACATCGGGTCTTTCGCAATCGCCAATACCTAAGTATGGGGAGAAGAAGACAGAAAAATTATATCTTCATTGAGCAATGTATCCCAGTTGTGTTATTTGGCAACAGAGCAGCGCAGCAACGCTGATTTTGATTATGATGGTCGATCTTTGTAAGGCATCAGTGAAATACTAAACGATATTTGAGTTGCATACGCCGGACGTCGAGTGAAGATTACTCAATAGTCTCTACGCACGGTTTCTCGTTTTCGATTCGGTCGTGAAAGATGAAATACTGATGGCTTGAAGAAAAAAAAGTAGGAAATATTCTTCGTAAATTTTAGTTTTTACAATCTTTATTTCGTAGTTTTGTTTCTTCATACAAAATTATAACTTCAAAAGTACTAATGAACAAACGTAAGACTACAAATAGGTATTCTAAATTTCCAGAAAAGATAATTTTTTTCATTTTTTCATTACATATTGATTGTTGACGCTTTAAGAATACGGATATCAATTTTGAATTTTAATTTTCATAAGAAAAAACTTAAAAATGCCTTTATGAATAAACGCGTTGTGCTCT